AATTGCAGAAGTGAACTGAAAAAAAATAAGAGAAGACAACCCTAAAGGCAACAGGGGAGGATAAAACCAGCAGAGGGCAGCTAAGTACTGTTTTTTTTCTTTATTCTTAAATAAATGTAGATCTATACACAGTCTGCACCCCCCCCCAACAACAACCCATGAGTATGATATGAGATTAATGCGGGGATAACAGATATGGATGATACAGGCCTGACTAATGCAACATTTAGGACGATGCAAGCTGCTGTAAAGCATGAAGGCTGTTGCTGGTATTGCCCTGACTGCAGAGTCAAGGTGAAAGAGGCGATTGCAAGCCAAAGGGGAACGAGTTCCCTAGGGACGAAAATAGATGACGCTAGAGCCTTGCTGGTTGCCAAACTAGGACAAGTTGGGAAAGACATCCTTGCTAAGACTGAGGAAGTAGCCGATATAATGGAGGTAGTTGTTAAGAGAAGTTATGCCGAGGCATTAGCAGGGCTACTGGAGGTGGGGGAGAGTAATTTAGGATCAGAACAGGTTCTACAGCAGCTAGGAACCCTGAAGCAGTGTGTCGAAGAAATGGAAATTAACGGACCTACTGTTAGGGGAGAGGAGGAACAACTGGAACGTTTCCAGCGCAGGAACAATGTAATAGTTTTTGGAGTCCCTGAGAGCCAGGCGGAGGGAACTTAGAGTAAGATAACACACGATAAGATGTAGTTTAAGAATATTTGTACAGAGGTTCTGAAAATGCCATCAACCCTCCAGGATGTGAGGAGGCTGGGACAACAGCAGGGAGATAAGCCTGGTCCCCTCAGGATCACACTAGTGAGTGAGGAGGAGAAATGGAAGGTTATTCGGCAGGCAAAAAACTTAGCAAGGAGCGAGGCATCTTGGAGTGTATTCATTCACCCAGAATGCACGGTAATGCAGAGGGAACAGCACAGGAAGCTCCTGCAGGGCTTGAAGCAGAGAAGGGATGAGTCGAGGAGGAACGGGGAGAGGATAGTGGAAGCAAGTGTGTCAACAGCGCACCCTCCACCCGCTCTACCCCCCACCCGGGAGGAGGCGAGCACGGTGTAAACAATGACATACAGTGTACTTAGCAAATGCTGCAGCTTTTGAGAATGGGGGGGGGGGGTGTTGCTACTAAGAGCAGACACATTACCGAGAACAAATTCTGGCTCGAATGTTATGTACACTAATTCTGACATGTTTCTTGATAAGAGAGAGGAGTTTGAAACACTACTGAAGGTACACCAACCAGATATTGTAGGAGTTGTAGAACTGGGGCCGGATACTCAAAACACCTCATAAGTTACGTCTTTTAGCATGATACAGTACCATATATTGTCGAATCTTTACAGTACCGTAAATTTAGCATACTCAAAATTTAATTACAGTTCCGTAAGCCTTTCGTAAGTATTCATAACTCTAGTGTTTACCCTGTAAATTAAGTTCTCTTGTCGGAAGGTAGATGTCAGTGCAGGAGCTAGTTGGCCAATCAGCGCTCAGTTAACAAAATCATCAACCAATCACAAGAGAAGGAGAAATCAGCTGAGAGCGACGCACATAATATTATTTTGTAAACATGGAAGGAACACCAGCCAAGAAGAGACAGCCTAATTTCAGTGAGGCTGAAGTATACACTATTCTGGGCAAATTCAAATAAATTGGTTATTGATAACATAGCTTTGCCGAACCTAAATGACAAATCACTTCTCTTAAATTACTCATTTAGCCTAGACCCTGGTGTTTTCCTTTCAATGTTGGGGACATTTGGTCTGAATTGTCTTCAAGTTCATACAAAAAACAATAATTTAAAACCTGAAATTATATCGGATTAGCCGTAAATTTTCTTAAATTAATACTCTACCTATGATAATGTTGAAAGTCTGGAACTAGGCCTAAGGTAGCTGCTAGACAAAGTGTCTCACTGACGGCCTGACACTCACCAAAAAACCATGTACACATTCTCTAACCTAACCTAACATACCATAACATAACATAACCAAACCAAACCAAACCTCTCTAACCTATAACCTATTGGTATAATTTCTTATTTAAATAATCCTCATGTTTTAACTAAATTAAGTAGGCCCCACGTTTAAACATTTATTTGTCTAAGACTGAAAAAGAGTTATATAGGCCCCTATTAATCAAGTTAATTGCAATCCACATGTTACGCCTAATATCGTTTAATTTTGGCTAGCCTATGGAAATTTATAGCCTTTCATGTTATCATAAGCCATATACATAAGAAAATAGGCTAAGACTATTGGTTGAATATTAGAAAAACAGGTGAAGTCTTGGCAGGAATGTTCACTTCACCTCATATTGGCTTTCATTACTGAGGGATATTTACGGCTATACAACATTAATAAGTTCTATCTGCAAGTTTACTCAGTCATAAAACATATTTTTACCCTAAGTGTGAACAATACAAACCTTCTGTTTTGGTAAAAAATACTTTATAATTTGTAAGAAGACAAAAGATGCGTCTCTTCCAAACTGAGACAAATACAAACACTCAAGCCGCTTATTATGGCAACAAAAAAGTTACGAAAAAGACAAAGTGAAATATTATATTTCAGTATGTTGGTGTACAAAATATTTTCTTCATTATTCTATGATAAACCAAGTCAACATTACAACATATATTATTATTATTTTTTATACAATAGGGAATTAGTCACTACTACATCCGGGTTGAGAGTGTTACACAACCTCAGGAGCTGGTGTAAGTTACGCACTTTAACTTGCGGAGTTCGATGTCAAATATTTGTTTTGAGTATACCATCTGTGTTTTGAGTATGCCAATCTGAGACTGTATGTCCAGTTACGGGGTACACAACGACATACATCCCCATAAATGTTTTTGAGTATCCGGCCCCTGTTAGTACAAGAACAGGAGAATTGACCCAGAGGAATGCGAGTTCAGTATAGCTGGATATGACTCATTTACGATCCTTTCTCAAAAAACTTGCAAGAGGGGTGTGGTTATCTATGCTAGGCAAGACCTTAGAGTCAGCCAGGTGAGAGTACAGGGAGAGGATGTTTTTGAAGAGTCCAAATGGTGTAAAATTAAATTACTTATCGTCAGGTGTATCTACAGATCCCCAAACTGTGGCCCACTAAATCAAAGGAACTTAAGAGCCTTAATAGACACTGCAGCAATGCTCAACCCTAGCCACCTCCATATCATGTGTACTTTAACTATGGCGACACAGACTGGAAAAACGAGTTCACCCGAAATGACTTGAATAACCCTGTTACTCTTTTTTTAGAAACTCTGAGAGATAATTTTCTGTTCCATCATGTTAGAGACCCGATACATTACAGAGGGGAGCAAACACCCAAGCCACTAGACCTCATCATAACAAATGAGGAGGGTATGGTGGCCAAACTGGAACATCTTGCCCCAGTTGGCACCAGTCACCACATATTGTCATTCAGATTTAACTGTTACCTAGTTCAAGATAAGGCCAGGCCAAGGTGCAAATATTACAAGGGAAATTACAATGGGATGAGGGAAGAGATGAGGGGAATCCACTGGCCCAACTCATTGAGGCACAAGAACACATACACTACGCTGAATATCATAACTAGTAAAGTGACCCATTTGATCTATAAATATATACCCAAGACCAAACCCAGTGCCTCTAGGAATATGAGGGGGTCCCTACACATGAACCATGAGGCGGTCGATAAAGTTAAGAAGAAAACTCAGAATTCAAGACGTAGGTTGGGTCATGCGAGAGCAGGACAGGAGGATGTATGCAAGAGCCAGAAAACAAGCAAAGGTAGGTGTAGAAGGGCTGAAAAGGAGTTCCAGAGGCTGGTTGCAAGTGAGGTCAAGACAAATCCAAAGGCGTTTTACCGCTATGCAAAGTCGAAATTAAAAATGCGAGTAGGAGTATCAGACCTGAGGCTTGAAGATGGTAGTTACGCAGATTCTGACTAGGATAAAGCCGAGACATTGAACAGCTTCTTTTCCTCGGTGTTCACAGGAGAGGATGCGATTAACCTTCCTGCGTTTGGTGACAAACGGTTCGACACAGCAGTGACCCACATTATGTTCACAGAAGAGGGTATTAGAAATAAACTGTCAAAGCTGAAGGTCCATAAGAGTCCTGGCCCTGACATTGTGCATCCCAGAGTGCTAAGAGAGTTGTGCAACAAGCTTGCCGAGCCCCTAAAGATCCTGTTTTGTAAATGCCTGGATGAACAAAAGGTCCCCAGTGATTGGAAAGTGGTTTATGCGAGTCCTATACTCAAGAAGGGTGATCGTCACTCCACGAACAACTATAGAGGGGTGAGCCTGACCAGCATAATATGTAAAATACTTGAGAGTACTATCAGAGATGCCGTAATGGAACAGCTACTACAAAACAACCTTGTAGAGGATTGCCAACATGGTTTTATGCCGGGGCATTCCTGCTTAACACAATTGCTCAAAGTATTGGATATTTGGACCCATATTCTGGAACGGGGTGGTAATATCGATAACATATACCTAGATTTTGCCAAGGCTTTCAACAGTGTACCCCATGAAAGGCTGAAAATCAAACTGGAAGGGTACGGTATTTGGGGAAATATCCTAGCGTGGATAGAAGACTTTCTATATGACTGCAAGCAGTGTGTGGTGATTAATGGCACTAAATCATTATCTGTACCTGTCACAAAAGGGGTACCACAGGGCAGTGCTAATTACTTATCAACTATTGGTTTCCAAGGAATGATTTAGGCATTTATGTGTTATTCTGAAAGTACTTATTGTATCTCCCTGTGAATGGTGTTAGGCACAGTTTCAGTCATTGAGAGAGCACAAATACAAAATAAAAGTCTCTGTGGCAGTGGTGCCTTAACAGCTTGCTTGCCAATTTGTATTCACTCTAAGTATTTACAACCTGTTCCGCAGTCACTGATGACACTATCAACTGATTTAACTAAAGGCACAGTACTACACTCCCTGGTTGACCTTTGGGTGGCTAATCACAGCAGTGACCACAACTCCGTAAAAAAAAAAAAATTGTCTTATGACAAAGATTTTGTGGTTGTAGGCCTCTTGACCTGGGCTGTACCTCCAACTCAGTGGAGATTGAGTTTTAAAAAATACAATCGCATCTAGCATTAAAAAATCCTTTATCGGTTTGCACATCACTAAGACGATTCCGATGATCTTATGTAATTACTGTCAAATTGCTGCTGCTCATCAACGAAGGCCCGAGTTTTAATCAGGCTAACTACAGTCCTAGAATCAGCTTCCTGATCCATACTAAATAAATTAGGACAACTCATCCTTGACCAATGTTGTATCTTATGTCACCAATCAGATACATTTTTACATCTTAATTTATAAGAAATATTCAACATACCTTTGAGATTCCATCACCTTGAATCACACAATCAGATACAACCTTGCATCTTAACTTAGGAGAAATATTCAACATACTTTACATTTGAGACTACAGACCAGAGAGCTAAAACGTGAAGACATCTTGGTGCACAAGTGACGGCTTCTGCCCAGCCAACACCAGTAATGGTTGTCATGCTCGACCTTATGCCTCCTTCCAACCTGTTGAGAGAAGAGATGGTGACTTTCAACTTTTAATGATCTCATTATGTATCTAAGTTAGGTTAGTTTAGGGTTTGTTTTTTTTGCATGTGTGTGTGTGAGAAAGATAAACAAAGAGAGAGAGAGCATCAAAATACCCAAAACATGATATAAGCAACACATACAGCATCAACTGTGCACGACCCAAGACACTCAGCATGATATGTGATACCTGGAAGTACACCATTTCACACACAGGAGGTGGATGATTGATGGGATGATATGGCACATGACACAGTAACAATCATACACACAGTAGATTACTCACAGTGCCTGACTCACTACTAATCATACTGTGCTCGACTCACTATCACTCATACAGCGCTCGACTCACTATCACTCATACAGCTCTTGACTAACCACTAATCATACTGTGCTCGACTCATACAGCACATTACTCATTACCAATCATACCTGGTAAAAAAACACAGGTGGTGTTGTCACGACCACGGTCTTACACGTCAGTTAGCACCAAAATCAAATGATTCATATTACGCTCAATAGCCCACAAAACATATAACTCGGCTTTCGTTGAGTCCTCCATCTGAGGAGTCCGTTTTCTTATCACTTCAAGACACCTCAGTCCTCCGTTATCCCATTTTCTCTGACTTATTGAAACCAACCTCTCTATAAAATGAATTTGAGTGTGAGAGAGAACACCCTTGTTTTGAGTCAACCTAGATATGTCTGTTTACAGAAGGGAACATTCAAGATCCATTGTGAGTGGGGTAGAACGCCTCAACTGTCCTTATCGTTAGTAAAACGTGTCGAGTGAGTGTCGAGTTTGCCAGCTAGTGGCGTATTTTATGTCGTCCGTGGGGGTATCCATGAGTTTCTGATCGCGCCTGAAGTTATATCATTTTGTCGCCCCGACATCAGAGAATCTGATGTTTATAGTTTAGTTAGTGGCAGTTGTCTATTTGAGAAAGTCATTAATTTCCTGAACTATTCTGTCAACTGGTATAATCTCCAAGATGTAGCGCCTCCCCGTGAATAGCTCCTTGTTCGCCTCAGGCCTTTGCTTGCAGAATTAATGTTATCGACGTGTATAATCCACCTTTTCCTGGCAAGCTCAACCTCTGATTAGATTATATGAATAGACATAGGAAATTACCCTGATCAAGAACACTGGAGTTCATAACTAAGTTTACAGTGATCCAAAATGGTAGAGAAGTTATGTTGTTGGTAAGATCGACCCTTCTGGTATGAATACGGAGGCCCAAGCTGCCCCGCTGGTGCACGTATATACCTCTACACGAGGGAGAATCACGCATTTGTGACTCTTCCTCAACGTCTCTCCAGGTATGTTAACGTGTGTTCCCCGCCGCCTATTAATTCAGTTTAACTTGGTCAATTTTGTGAATATCAGTGTTCAGGTGTTAACATAGTGAATTCTGTGCCAATTAAGTCAAGTAACGTAGAGATTTAGATATCGTCTGAACCGTTGCCAGACGTATGTTTTGTATAGTTGAAGTTAGGCATTTAGGCATTCGTGACTCTTCCTCAACGTCTCTCCAGTGTGTTGAGCTGAATACTCATCGGCTAACGTGGGTCGGTAACCGGGTTGGACGATGCCGTTAATTCGACAGGATTAAACTGGGAAGTCCGTTTCCTGCAAATCAGGCACCAGCTCCCTGGGCGTGTGTCTGTCTACAACCGACCCCTAACAGCGATCTTCATTTGTTGTAGAGACCAGCGTTACCCTGGAGCACTCCTCACAGTTACATGGGCCTAAGTATTATTGTATCTTGTTTGGGGGATAACTAGCCGAAATATAGTATCCCAGGTTAAGTATTGAACCACTGAATGAGAGTTAAAAGTGCCATGTTGTTCCTTGAGAATTAACAGGAGGTATTGTATGTTGCGATAATTGTGGAGTTGTCCAGTGTGCTATGTATTCATCGGTAGTGACCATGAAATGATAATCTGAGAGTATAATGATATAACCAAGAAGTGAAGAGTTAATTTGCTACTTGGTAAGGTAAGACCTGAGGGTCCAGTGATATCTGGTGTATACCCAGTACTGAATATCATTTGGCAGAGTGATAATACCACAATTGTCGATTGAAGTAATAAGTATTTGGAGGTATTTAATGAGGTAATAAGTTCTTGAAGTGTTTGATGACTTAATAAATAAATTGCAGTTCTGTTTTGTCTGAGTGAATCTAAGATGCATCTTATCCAATCACTGTGTTAATAAATATTAAATTAGTAATCTACGAGTATCACCACTTTATCCTTTCCCACATTGGTTCTCAGAAAATAACTAACTCACAAGCCTAGAAGCTCGCTACCTAACAGTTAACTAAGATATGTTATATTATAGAAAAATCCTGGGTGGTGGCAGGTCTACCGTTGTAAGTATAATAAGTGTGGTAATAAGAAAGACATGGTTTCCCAGGTTAATCCATGGTTTAGAATATAACTAGAACAAAATAAATGGAAGAGATTATAATATATGAAAGAAAATGAAAAGAAAGAACATTGACTTGGAAAATATAAGCAAGAGAAGCATAAGAGTTACTTATATAAGAATATATAAGAATAAGTATATATGTAAAGAATTGAAGAAGGATAAGTATATAAAACAGGATACTCATTGGAAAGAATGCTACAACGAACATATAAGTATATGAATAAATAGAATACTAACAGAAAAGAATATCTGAATGGTAAATTATTAAAAGAGAAAACTCGGCCCGTTACACCTGAACCTGGCTGATGCCAAGTCTGAGGGCCAGGTTTCTCCCTCAAGAGGATCCTGACTCCTGGAACCACTGGACAAACAAGCATGCTGGTCCAAAAACATCCTTCCCAGAATAGACTTCTTACCCCGTCCTAAAGGTCGGGGAAAGATGGTCAGATTCAGTTGATTCCAGTTGATAGGTGACTCTCTTTATGGTTGAGTTCTGAAGAAGTGAAACCTAAACCTAGGATGTGGAAGAAATTAAAAAAATAATCCAGTGCAGATTAAGTGGCACATATCCTTCCTTTGCTTGTATAAAACTTCAGTCTATCCTAAGGTGTTTCCTCACTCTTCTTCTGCTACAGTACAGTAAAGTCTTATGTTCTAGTCAAGTTTCTCCCACATATACATTACTTGAGAATAGTTTTAATTCATATCACCAGCCTTCCCACCCTCACTGTAATACTCTTCAATTATGTCTCCAGCAGTCTTCCCTCTCAATTAACTTTAGTCCAATCTTCCCTCACTCTGACCATAACATAGCATACAGCTCACAGGTGGGGAAAGTTGATAATCTCCCAGTAATTTAAACAGATGCAAAGAAAAATATCTAAACCAATTCTATCAGGCATTTGTATATTTAAACCAGCATATACTGTATAGTGAAAGGTTCTGCTCTTCCTGTAGCCACATAGGATCTTGGGGTAGGTAGGCAAGCCCAGGATAAAGGAGCTTACTGGTAAGGTTAACCTACCATAAGCGCGTACTGCACCAGGTACTATCATTCACTGTAAATGACCCATGGAAATGCATAAATTGTAACCCCTCAAAAATATTATGCATGTATAGTTTGACCCCAATTTTTTACATAAAAATTTGATCATTAAGACTTGAACTATACTTTAAGATACAGTAAACGGTAATTTCATGAAGTTACTTTGTGATTTTATCTCTTACATAATTATTGAAGTAATATCCTCACTGTAGTAAAGTTATTAACACCACA